ACCACAATATTACAATTGTCCTACATTTCCCGACACAATCGTTTTATCTGTTGTTGTGACCACAATATTACAATTGTCCTACATTTCCCGACACAATCGTTTTATCTGTTGTTGTGACCACAATATTACAATTATCCTACATTTCCCGACATATTCGTTTTATCTGTTGTTGTGACCACAATATTACAATTATCCTACATTTCCCGACACATTCGTTTTATCTGTTGTTGTGACCACAATATTACAATTATCCTACATTTCCCGACACATTCGTTTTATCTGTTGTTGTGACCCCAATATTACAAGTATCCTACATTTTCCGGTACAATCGTTTTATCTGTTATTGCTAATCTAATATTACAGGTGGAAGTGAAGAAGAAAGGGTGTTAATACTGGGTGGGGTGGGGCAACACTGGCCGGGTGTGACAAGCTTGCATGTTGTTAAATATTCAGCGGTGTGCATCGTGAATATCATGTGTAGAACACGTGGTAGATATGCAACAACAATTAATTGGCAGAGCACAAGTAGAGAAAAGCATCAGGTTGCTATATTATTAAATGCTTTATTTAAACACAAAAGGCTTACCTTCTAATCACGTCATGCCTCGCTGCATCTCGCTTCTGAAGTCAGTTTCAGTAGCACTGGTTAACAACTTTAATTAAATAGAAATGTACTGCTCTGATCGTTTGAGTGTCAACTATTTTTAAATATCAGGGAGGGGGACACAAATTTGTTGTCCTCCTCAAACATTACTGTGGAATGGTTTTAAAAGCCCCACATCATTCCTTCTATCCATTATAGTAAATGTAATAATACAAGCAGTGGTGGAAATGGGGGTACACGCGAGTACACACCGTGTACCTAGTTCTCAGTTTGTATTTTTTCCCCCATCGGTTAAGTTTAGGGATGAACGGGCATCCGGCCAGATATTGGATTTTCCAGTAATATTCGGCTCCAGCCGAGTGTCGAAATTAAAAACAGCCGAATCCGGGTAATTGAAAATGGTATCAAAGCCTTAATCTTTGTGGCAACTTACGCGATACTGAAAGTTACAGTCAATAATTGGTTTAGTTAAAATAAAAACGTGTTCTGAACAACAAAGACTGACCGCCAGCTGAAAGTCAGGGATTCAGAGAATAATAGGGGTTAATAACAGGCATTGCTTGAGAAGTGGATTTCTGGAGAAGGTGGGGTTTTTGAGGACAACAGGGGTTAGGATTTGAGAAGTTGAAAATAAAGCTTGAATGTTTTGTTGGTGATTATTCGGTTAAAGGTAATAAACGTCAGTTTTGTTTTGTTTCTAATTTTTGTGTATGTTGTTTATTTTGAGGGGGGGGGGCGAGGGGAAACTCCGGTCTCGGTTGACACCCGGCCCCGGCCGAAGTTTAGTGACCGGGTACGCGGACCCGGTATTCGGCCAAATTTTACTACCCGTGCATCCGTAGTTAAGTTTAGTACCACTGAGGTTGTTTATTAACCCTATCGTTACGGGTCAAAGGCCATGTCATCGCGTTTGTTAAGTTACGTTTAAAATTTTATTGAACTACTATTATATGAATTTATGTCAATACGTTTGGTATGAAATTGTAGACTATGATTCAATTTTAGTATTATATATTAGTTAATTTCTTAATTTAAAAGTAAATATTATAAGAACACACCTAAATATCGATTTTTGTGTGTCACGTGATATGTTGAATGTAGCATTGGTTCAAATTAGATGTTTATGATGTCCAAATATAAAGTCTATAGTTTCTTACGAATTACGAACTCAAATTACCGATTTGGCAAGCTAGAAGATAAAATAAGAACCTCCTATCTTTTCTATTTGCTTTTTTATACCTATCACCCCATTGCTCCTTCTAAGCGTGTACCTAGTTCCTAAAACCCATTTCCTTTCCTGCTGCTAATTTAGGGCCCTGGTGTAGCTTTGCGCAAAATTCAAAAGAAACAGACCAAAACAAAACAAAATTATAAAGTTTTCATAATTGTTCTGAAGATTTTAGATAAACATCGATACTAAAACAGATATATGATAGTAAATCTGTCACATATTTTACAAGTGTTTTGAACGGAACAACTATTTTG